ATTGAATGTTAGTGTTTGTGTATATTCATGCGAGTATTAGTCGGCCCAAAGGAAGATTAATATTTGGCCGAATTGCATACACACTTGTAATGATAAACATGTGATAATTATAAGGATTTGCTTTGTCGATGATAAATTAATCCAAAGATTGGTTTGTTGTTGGACGTGCTTTATTGTCAATGTTTGATTATTACAACAAGATACCTCTAGCAGTTAATATTACTGTCCAAAGACTTGATATTGATGGTGCATTGGGTATCTTGAGATGGGTTAAACCACTATTTGAATATATATTATTTATTTTTTATATAATGTGAGCATAATTAGTTTATTTCTCGTGTTCTAAATTCAGCTACAATTGCTTCTGTATCTGCCAATTTAAATTTTGTTCCGGTCCTCAATGGAACAAATTTTAAGGACTGAAAAGAGAACATTGATATTGTTCTTGGTTGCATGGATATGGATCTTGCGTTAAGGGCTGAGCAATCCCCTACTCCTACGGATTCAAGTACCTCTGAACAGAAAAGAGATTATGAGAAGTGGGATCGCTCAAATCGCATGAGTCTAATGATCATTAAGCGCAACATCCCGGAGGTGTTTAGGGACACTATTTCTGAAAACATCACAAGTGCCAAAGAATTTCTTGCTGAAATTGAGCAGCGCTTTGCAAAAAACGATAAGATGGAGGCAAACACTCTTCTTCAGAACTTGATCTCCATGAAATATCAAGGCAAAAGAAATATAATGGAGTACATTATGAGCATGTCTAATATTGTTTTTAAACTCAAGACATTCAAGCTTGAACTCTCAGAAGACTTGCTCATTCATTTGGTGTTGATTTCTCTTCCTGCAATGTTTAATCAATTTAAGGTATCTTACAACTATCAGAAGGATAAATAGTCTCTTAATGAGCTCATTTCACATTGCGTACAAGAAGAAGAAAGACTAAAGTAAGACAAGACAGAAAGTGTTCATTTTGCAAGCACCTCCAAGACTAAGGGCAAAAGAAAGAGATCAGAGGATCTCGAGAAAGAAGCTGCTAAGGGTCCAGAACAAAAGAAACAAACTCAAGAAAACAAATGTTTCTTTTGCAATAAGACTGGACACGTAAAGAAGAAATGTGCTAAATATCATGCTTGGCGTGAAAAGAAAGTGTTGCCTAAACTACCGGAAACCAATTGATTCTGAAAGATGGATTTATGTTGGAGATGACAAATCGGTAGAGGTGGAAACTATAGGGCATTTTAAATTGTTATTGAGTACTATTTTTTTTTATTTGGATTTGAAAGACACTTTTATTGTGCTGTCATTTAGACAAAATTTGGTTTCAGTTTCTTATTTGGACAAATTAGGTTATTTGGGATCATTTGGAAACAATAAGTTCAATTTGTCTTTTAAATTAGATATTGTTGGAACTGGTTCACTTTTGATTTATGATAATCAATATTTATTTGATATTGTGACCACCTATAATGAAACCCTTAATACAGAATCACGTGGTACTAAACGTAAAATTGAAAATACTCACTCAGGTGCATTATGGCACAAGTGCTCAGTTCACAATCAAATCGTGACGTTTGGGCTTCTGTTACACTCTTAAAGATATGGTAGAGAGTATGATTTGTCATTCCAACTTACTGGAATCACTTTGGGGAGAGACACTAAATACGACAGACTTATATTCTAAACGAGTACCAACTAAAGCAGCTACCAAAACACCTTATGAGTTTTGGATTGGGCGACAACTTAGTCCGAAACATTTCCATGTGTGGGATTGTCCAGCTGAGGCAAGACCTTATAAGCCAAATGAAAAGAAATTGGACTCCCTAACGAGTAAGTAGTTATTTTATTGGTTATCTCTGAAAGATCTAGGGGATATAAATTTTATGATCCCACATTAAAGACAATTTTTGAGACGGGAACTGCTACGTTCTTTGAGGATATTGAGTTTGGGGGGAAGAATAAGATTAAGAACTTCATCTTGGAGGAAGAATCGGTAACAATTTCAGAACCGATTCAAATAGTTACTTTTGATAAAGTAAGTTCGGAACCTCCACAAGGCATTATTGATGAACCCCTCACTCAAGATGATTTGGTTGTTCATGAAGAACAAACTCAAGATCCTCAAGAACCTGTGCATAATGAGCTAATAACTTTGCAGAGATCCACTAGAGAAAGAAGAAGTGCTATTTCGGATGATTACATGGTATTTCTTCAGGAACATGAGGAAAATAATGATATAATGGAAGATGACCCAGTTAACTTTTGTCAAGCTATACAAGGTTCTAACTCTCAAAAGTGGATTGAAGCAATAGGATAAGTATAAGTCCATGCAAGACAATAAGGTTATTGAGAACTTTTCCCATTACTAGAAGGTATGAAACTCATTTGGCTTCAAGATGAATATTGTTGATGATTGTGTGTATCACAAGTTTAAAGGGAGACAAGTTTAGTCTCAATCAGTGCCCAAAGAGAAATTTGGAAATTGAGGAAATGCAAAAGATTCCCTATGCATCAGTTGTAGGGAGTTTGATCTATGCCCAAGTATGTACACATCCAGACATAACATATATAGTTGGGGTTCTAGGCAGATATTTAAGCAATCCAGGAATAGACCATTGAAAAGCAGGAAAAAGAGTCATAAGATATTTAAAGAGAACAAAAGATTATATGCTCACATATAGGAGGTCAGACCAGTTGGAGATCGCTGGGTTTTCTGACTCAGATTTTGTAGGATGTCAAGAATTTGTAACATGCTATGAGACATCAAATCATGAAATATGGCTGAAAAATTTTATCACAGGGCTGCAAATTGTAAAAGGCATTGAAAGACCACTTAAGTTATATTGTGACAATAAATCAACTGTATTGTTAAGGAAAGAGTACAAAGTGGACAAATTTTCATAGAACACTTAAGAACAAACTCCATGATAGCATATCCTCTAACTAAAGGACTTCCGCCCAAGGTCTTTCATGAGCATTTTGCTCACATGGGTGTTTTACAGTTTGAGGAATTTGTGGTTTAGTGGGAGTTAGTCACTTTCATATATTTTATGTTCTATGTTTAATTTCATATATGTATACATTGTTTTTTTTGGACATATTTGGTTATCTATAGATATGCGATTTTTTCGTTCATTCATTACACTTTGTACATTAAGGATATTATATCGATCTCGATAAGTTAAAGTTTGGACCAGTTGAAAATAGACGTGTACAGATCACCTTCACGTAATTTTTCATGCTACACATTTCATGATGAATCCATGTCATTTGGTTATGTTAGGATGAGTAATCATTGTTGGTTTTAATTGCGATGATGCAATGAAAAACTAGTTTGGTTCTATATCCTGATATGATTAATGGACAGGACTTTTGGAGTATGCTAAAGGAATATAATGACAATTTTGAGCTCATAAAGTCTAACACATTTGTAAGGTTGTAAGGACATATATATTTGTGACCAGTGGGAGATTGTTGGCAAAATTTGGGTCATGTATATATATGATACATAATTTAAATGTGTTAGGGTCATTATTTATTAAGTCAAATAATAAAGTGATCTGACTAAATTAAAGTTTTGGCTAAAGACATATGTCATGAAAATAAAATTGTGTAGAGACCATAGAGCAATTTCTAATTTAATGAGGAGCCAAATTGGAAATACTAAAACTTAAGTAATTAACCTAATTCTGGTTATCTAAAGGGTCATGGTCCCCTTCTGGGAGCACACACACAGAACGTAAGTATCAGTCTCGTTCCTTTCTTTCTATCCCCATCAAGAGAGAAAATCAAGAGGGAAATACAGGTGCTCTTCAGGTGGAAGACCATAAGATCAATATAGTGTTCTACAAAGACATCATCGTTATGGCTAATTCGAGTACGCTTTCGCATTCAGTTTACAACATGTTTATCGAGTATGTGATTATGTTTATGTTTGATCGTTAGAATCAAAATCAAGATTATTATTATTATTATTATTGTTTTTCCATCAATGAAATAATGAATTACCTTCCTTAATTAATATACAAATTGATTTTTTTTTTGGGTTAATATTCAAGTTGAGAATGCATGGTTATGGTAGAGTTTAATATTATATATTAAAGTTTCTTTTATTGAAAGAATAGTTTCTTGTAAACAATACAATAGCTTAAATGCGTAGGGAGTAACAAAGAATTGATGACAATGTGGGTCGTTGTTGTTAAGTAGTGCATGTCTTTGGTGGCCTACGTGATGATTCTGCTTCGATCTTCGAAAACAGAAAAAAAGTGGTGTATTACACGTAATCTTGGGGCTGTTTAGTTTCAACGAATGAAATATGCGAGGAAAACAGTGGTCGTGTTTTCTTTAGTTCCAAAAGAAGGGTTCGATGAAGAGAGAGAGAGCATCTGAGCATCCTCTAGAAAGTTCTCAAGTTTGGCATCAAGTAGGGGACACAAAAGAAGACGTGGCATTGACCATAAAAGCCAAGTGAATAAGACACCCGTGAACCATGGTCTAATTCACATTGAACAACGTGTAGAGCCAAGGCTAGCCCACGGTTAAAAACACCACTCACTATTTTTTAACTAAAAAGATTACAATAGTTCAATATGTGCATAACAGAGTTATAAACACCGACAAAAGCATTCCTACTTTTGTGTTGTTTGTGTTATTTTCTTAGTGTTGATATCAATCTAAAGCATTGTCCTCTTCTGATATGTGCTTTCTTCATATATAAAATCTTGAATATTAAACTTTTGATCACATCTTTTCACCACAATAAACCACGTTGGTAGTATTATTCTGTTGTTTTACACTAAATTCTTACACCTACTTTATATTATTTTTTAACAGTCTTTCCATTTTGTTTTGCACTATTAAACATCCATTTGTCTCTGTTCTCATGTGAGTTATATACTCCCAAGCACTGGCAAATGATCATTTTGTGACCCTGAAATAGAAGTCAAGAAAGAGCCTAGACCATTCTCATTCTCATTCCCTACCCATCATAAGAGAAAATGAGGAGGATCCCAAGCTGGGTGTCTTCTTTTGCAATTCACATTTTTCTTATAGCTTCTATTTCTGTTCCCTTCACACTATCCCAACCTTCTTTTCCATTGAAAGATTGGGATGGGGATTTGGTAGACCAAATATGCAGAAAAACACCCTTTTACGACCTTTGCAGCTCCATCCTGCACTTAAACCCTCTGAATCCAAAACCTGATCTCAAAGGGGTGGCCCTCTTGATGGTGAACAACATTGTGGCGAATGCAACTGACACACTGAGTTACATCGAGAGCCTGATCAAGCAGACCTCAGACCGTGAGTTGGAGCAAGCCTTGTCCTTCTGTGCTGAGTCATATATCCCACTTGTCAAATACATTCTCCCACAAGCTGCAGATGCTATAAGCCAAGGCCGTTTTGGCTTTGCCAGTTACTGCATTTCTGATGCTCTCAAAGACGTGAATACCTGCGACAAGAAATTCTCTGGCACATCTCAGGCACCCTTAGGAAACAGAAACGACATTGTGCAGAAGCTAGTGGATGTGGCCTCGGCTATAATTAAACTACTACTAAAGGGTTGATTTGTTCACCTCTCTTTTATCCTGCTGTTGTTGTAGGTAGTAGCACTTAGTATAGTACTATACTAGTAGCAGTAGTACTCTTATTATTATAATAAAGAATGGTTGACTTTGTATAATGTATGGTTCATCATTGATTCATTGTATATGTACTTTGAAGCAGCTCTTTATAAACCATACGGTTACTTCTCCACAAAGAAAGTGTCGTGTAAGAACCATATAATTGCAACTCACATTAGACATAAATTTTTTGCAAAATTTGGGTCATGTATATATATATAATACATAATTTAAATGTATTAGGACCATTATTTATTAAGCCAAATAATAAAGTGATCGACTAAATTAAAGTTTTGGCTAAAGACATATGTCATGAAAATAAAATTGTGTAGAGACTATAGAGCAATTTCTAATTTGATGAGGGGTCAAATTGAAAATACTAAAACTTAAGTAATTAACCTAATTCTGGTTATCTAAAGGGTCATGGTCCCCTTCTAGGAGCACACACAGAACGTAAGTATCAGTCCTGTTCTTTTCTTTTTATCCCCATCAAGAGAGAAAATCAAGAGGGAAATATAGGTGTTCTTCAAGTGGAAGACCATAAGATTAATATAGTGCTCTATAAAGACATCATCATTATGGCTAATTCAAGTACGCTTTCGCATTCAGTTTACAACATGTTTATCAGTATGTGATTATGTTTATGTTTAATCGTTAGAATCAAAATCAGGATTATTATTATTATTATTATTAATTTTCCAACAATTGGTATCAGAGCTACTCATATTTGATTCATGTTTTTTAATTTATAGAACCCTAATTATGAAAATTAGGATTAATTTTGTTTTAAACAATTCAAATTACCCAATTTTATGAACTCTAAGTGGAGAATAATCTCTAATTTTCGTGAACCCTAAAATTTAAATTTGGGGGTAACATCCCCAATCTGATTCTGCTTGCTGATGGAACCGTGGAGGAAGCTATGGATTCTTATTCTTCTTCGTTTTTCCCTTTTGTTTCAGTTTAAGTTTCAAGTTTTACTGAGAAAGAAATAGTGTTTCAAATTTCAATCTTTCTTGTATTGGGTTCTCTGTTCTCTTTTAATCTTTTGTTTTTTTTTTATTTAATTTTATGAGTTTGGAATTGGTGGTGGTGTTTGTGGAGTTCCCAACACAGAAAATCTTAGGTAAATGGTGAATGTTTCCACAGGTGTGACTGTTCTTATTTTATTGCCTTTAGGAAAATTTGATGTTAAATTCCCTTGTTTAGAGTTTGAGTGATTACTGTTTAATCCCCTTTTAGGGTTTAGAGCAGTATGCTAAAGAGACTCAGAACTATCTCTGTTTCATCCCTAGTGTGATTTTAGGGAGATATTCATCCTTTATGTATTAGTGGAAAATGAGGTCTTTTTTCATCCTTTGATTTGTTCAAATGAGGTGTTCATCATTAGTAGAATTTTAATGAGGTGATTCTCTTTTGAATTAGTTTGCAAATATTAAATATTTGGTTTTGTTATATAAATAAAATATTCAATTTTTTGGTAGTTTAATATTTTTCTTGAGCAAATTGAGTCAAGAAGTCACCAAAGTAACCTCTCTTGAATTGGGCAGTTCATGAAAAATATTGAATGTTAGTGTTTGTGTATATTCATGCGAGTATTAGTCGGTCCAAAGCAATATTAATATTTGACCGAATTGCATACACACTTGTAATGATAAACATGTGATAATTATAAGGATTTGCTTTGTCGATGATAAATCAATCCAAAGACTGGTTTGTTGTTGGACGTGCTTTATTGTCAATGTTTGATTATTACAACAAGATACCTCTAACAGTTAATATTACTGTCCAAAGACTTGATATTGATGGTGCATTGGGTGTCTTGAGATGGGTTAAACCACTATTTGAATATATATTATTTATTTTTTATATAATGTGAGCATAATTAATTTATTTCTCGTGTTCTAAATTCAGCTACAATTGCTTTTGTATCTGCCAATTTAAATTCTGTTCCGGTCCTCAATGGAACAAATTTTAAGGACTGGAAAGAGAACATTGATATTATTCTTGGTTGCATGGATATGGATCTTGCGTTAAGGACTAAGCAACCCCCTACTCCTACGGATTCAAGTACCTCTGAACAGAAAAGAGATTATGAGAAGTGGGATCGCTCAAATCGCATGAGTCTAATGATCATTAAGCGCGACATCCCGGAGGTGTTTAGGGGCACTATTTCTGAAAACATTACAAGTGCCAAAGAATTTCTTGCTGAAATTGAGCAGCGCTTTGCAAAAAGCGATAAGGCGGAGACAAACACTCTTCTTCAGAACTTGATATCCATGAAATATCAAGGCAAAGGAAATATCAGGGAGTACATTATGATCATGTCTAATATTGTTTTTAAACTCAAGGCACTAAAGCTTGAACTCTCAGAAGACTTGCTCATTCATTTTGTGTTAATTTCTCTTCTTGCAACGTTTAATCAATTTAAGGTATCTTAAAACTGTCAGAAGGATAAATGGTCTCTTAATGAGCTCATTTCACATTGCGTACAAGAAGAGGAAAGACTAAAGCAAAACAAGACAGAAAGTGCTCATTTTGCAAGCACCTCCAAGGCTAAGGGCAAAAGAAAGAGATCAGAGGATCTCGAGAAAGAAGCTGCTAAGGGTCCAGAACAAAAGAAACAAACTCAAGAAAACAAATATTTCTTTTGCAATAAGACTGAACACGAAGAAATGTGCTAAATATCATGCTTGGTGTGAAAAGAAAGGGTTGCCTAAACTACCGGAAGTCAATTAATTCTGAAAGATGGATTTATGTTGTAGATGACAAATCGGTAGAGGTGGAAGCTATAGGGCATTTTAAATTGTTATTGAGTACTGGTTTTTTTATTTGAATTTGAAAGACACTTTTGTTGTGCCGTCATTTAGACGGAATTTGGTTTCAGTTTCTTATTTGAACAAATTAGGTTATTTGTGTTCATTTGGAAACAATAAGTTTAGTTTGTCTTTTAATTCAGATATTGTTGGAACTGGTTCACTTTTGATTTATGATAATCAGTATTTACTTGATATTGTGGTCACCTATAATGAAACCCTTAATACAGAATCACGTGGTACTAAACGTAAAATTGAAAATACTCACTCAGGTGCATTATGGCACAAGTGCTCAGGTCACAATCAAATCGTGACGTTTGGGCTTGTGTTACACTCTTAAAGATATGGTAGAGAGTATGATTTGTCATTCCACCTTACTGGAATCACTTTGGGGAGAGACACTAAATACGACAGCTTATATTCTAAAATCAACTAAAGCAGCTACCAAAACACCTTATGAGCTTTGGATTGAGCGACAACTTAGTCTGACGCATTTCCATGTGTGGGATTGTCCAGCTGAGGCAAGACCTTATAAGCCAAATGAAAAGAAATTGGACTCCCAAACAGTAAGTAGTTATTTTATTGGTTATGCTGAAAGATCCAGGGGATATAAATTTTATGATCCCACATTAAAGATAATTTTTGAGATGGGAACTGCTACGTTCTTTGATGATATTTAGTTTGGGGGGAAGAATAATATTAAGAACTTCATCTTGGAGGAAGAATCGGTAACAATTTCAGAACCGATTCAAATAGTTACTTTTGATAAAGTAAGTTCGGAACCTCCACAAGGCATTGTTGATGAACCCCTTACTCAAGATGATTTGGTTGTTCATTAAGAACAAACTCAAGATCCTCAAGAACCTGTGCATCATGAGCTAATAACTTTGCAGAGATCCACTAGAGAAAGAAGAAGTGCTATTTCGGATGATTACATGATATTTCTTCAGGAACATGAGGAAAATAATGATATAATGGAAGATGACCCAGTTAACTTCTGTCAAGCTATACAAGGTTCTAAATCTCAAAAGTTGATTGAAGCAATAGGATAAGTATAAGTCCATGCAAGACAATAAGGTTTGGGAACTTGTCCCTTTACCAGAAGGTATGAAACTCATTTGGCTTCAAGATGAATATTGTTGATGATTGTGTGTATCACAAGTTTAAAGGGAGACAAGTTTAGTCTCAATCAGTGCCCAAAGGGGAATTTGGAAATTGAGGAAATGCAAAAGATTCCCTATGCATCAGTTGTAGGGAGTTTGATCTATGCCCAAGTATGTACGCATCCAGACATAGCATATATAGTTGGGGTTCTAGGCAGATATTTAAGCAATCCAGGAATAGACCATTGAAAAGCAGGAAAAAGAGTCATAAGATATTTAAAGAGAACAAAAGATTATATGCTCACATATAGGAGGTCAGACCAGTTAGAGATCACTGGGTTTTCTGACTCAGATTTTGCAGGATGTCAAGAATTTGTAGCATGTTATGAGGCATCAAATCATGGAATATTGCTGAGAAATTTTGTCACGGGGATGCAAATTGTGAAAGGCATTGAAAGACCATTTAAGTTATATTGTGACAATAAATCAGCTGTATTGTTAAGGAAAGAGTACAAAGTGGACAGATTTTCATAGAACACTTAAGGATAAACTCCATGATAGCATATCCTCTAACTAAAGGACTTCCACCCAAGGTCTTTCATGAGCATGTTGCTCACATGGGTGTTTTACAGTTTGAGGAATTTGTGGTTTAGTGGGACTTAGTCACTTTCATATATTTTATGTTCTATGTTTAATTTCATATATGTATACATTGATTTTTTTGGACATATTTGGTTATCTATAGATATGCGGTTTTTTCGTTCATTCATTACACTTTGTACATTAAGGATATTATATCGATCTCAATAAGTTAAAGTTTAGACCAGTTGAAAATAGACGTGTACAGATCATCTTCACGTAATTTTTCATGCTACACATTTCATGATGAATCCATGTCATTTGGTTATGTTAGGATGAGTAATCATTGTTGGTTTTAATTGCGATGATGCAATGAAAAGCTGGTTTGGTTCTATATCCTGATATGATTAATGGACACGACTTTTGGAGTATGCTAAAGGAATATAATGACAATTTTGAGCTCATAAAGTCTGACACATTTGTAAGGTTGTAATGACATATATATTTGTGACCAGTGGGAGATTGTTGGCAAAATTTGGGTCATGTATATATATGATACATAATTTAAATGTGTTAGAGTCATTATTTATTAAGCCAAATAATAAAGTGATATGACTAAATTAAAGTTTTGGCTAAAGGCATATGTCATGAAAATAAAATTGTGTAGAGACCATAGAGCAATTTCTAATTTGATGAGGGGCCAAATTGGAAATAGTAAAACTTAGGTAATTAACCTAATTCTGGTTATCTAAAGGGTCATGGTCCCCTTCTAGGAGCACACACAGAACGTAAGTATTAGTCCTGTTCCTTTCTTTCTATCCCCTTCAAAAGAGAAAATCAAGAGGGAAATACAGGTGCTCTTCAGGTGGAAGACCATAAGATCAATATAGTGCTCTATAAAGACATCATCATTATGGCTACAACATGTTTATCAGTATGAGATTATGTTTATGTTTGATCGTTAAAATCAAAATCAGGATTATTATTATTATTATTATTATTAATTTTCCAACATAAACCACCACATCTTAATTTTTTTTCCCTTTAACTCGTACAAAATTTTCTTCTTGCTCAGAATGAGAGTTGTCGCAAGTGTCAATTTCTAGCTATCTGAGGAAGATTCGGTTGAGATAGAGACCTCACAAACTTCGAGCATATTCTGTTTCTTATTATTTAAATTTTAGATCCTAAATTTTTGGTTGATTGCTAGTCAGCCATCCCATTTGTTGCACGTTCTTCAACAAGAGGAAATAAATGGAGGAGAGTGAGTTTGTGCAAGTCAAAAGTTGTCTTCTTGGATATGCAAATAGGGAGAATAAAAACGTATGCTATTCATGAAAATAGGGTCAGTTTGATTGCGAATTTTCTTGCTCTAGAAAACATATTATATAGTTTCAAAACATGAATAAAACTGTTTTAAGACAATATGGTTTTTTATTATACAATTTCTCTTAACAAAGACCTTCCTTCAAATGGATTGAAGTAATTTGGAATTTTTGGGAAACCAAATTTATAACTTTACGTCTAAAATTGATTAAAACAGCTAGCTCATCCTTATTTCTAGGCATTGATTCAAAGTGAGGGCACTTACTAGAAGCATGTTAAACGTCTCCCATTCGAAGTTAAACTTTATTTTATTTCTTTTTTGGGATCCCATATGAAGCAATGTCACGTGTTGATATTAGTAAAAGTCACATTTGGAATCACATATCGAGAGCCACACCTGACAAATTTTTTAGTATTAATTGGAAATTAGAGTGCCACACGGCGGAACCAGAATTTTTCTTTCTGAGAAGATAAGTATTTGATGCGGCCCCTTTGTTCTGATATGTGCTTGTTGTACGTAAAATATTTGTCACAAAAAGCACATAATTACATACCAGTTGTCTTAATGACAAAAAAAGAAACCAGAACAAATAAATAGAATCCTTCATCATAGCTTGGTGGTGGGCTTTAGGCATCTCCAACTCCAATTTCACCAGGTATAGTACCAGGAAGTTGCTGAGGTGAAAAAGTAACACCTGTTTGGCAAGGCAATGCAAAACGCTAGCGGTACTGTTTTGGTAATTTAACTCACCCCAACATTGACTAATATACATAAATGGGATAAATTACCAATAAATGAAGAAATATATATTGCAAAAGCCAAGACAAAGAGGTTGTGGGAGATACAAGAGATCTGTTTGACATCGTTTCTTTACATACAGGAAAACGATATTCGTTTTTATGATAAAAGTGCATTATCCTGAATCTCTTCTCAAATTTTCAGGCAAATCCGAACCAGCCACCTTCTGTACAAAACTGCAAGGTGTAGCATTTTCCAATATCATCAATTAGCAAAATTGATATTAGGCGAAAAATAAGCCAGCAATGTGGCAAAAGAGGGTTCAAATAATGTGGCATGATGCATTTGAACTTACTTGGGAGATTCTGAACCAGGAGAATTTGAGTCACTTGCAGAAGGATTGAGTTGGTACTCAACCGAAATTAAACCACCCTCTGATTCTCCTGCAGATACAGGAGATCGCTGGAAACTTGTCACTGAGCTCGTTCCAGATGACATGCCTGCAAAAGGAACGTCTAAATAAAGAAAAACAAGGAAGCTAAATGTTGCCACTCGTCACAACATGAAAGAAGCATGCCATTGAGAGTATTTTGACCCCATTTTGCATATTACATCACCGTAAACTTAACACTAAAAGTAATAGATGATTGATTAATCGTGCCATGAAAATTACAGACCATAGAAACTTCAGGAAGTTAAAGTATTATCATAATATAGAGATGAAATGAAACTGAACCTTGTTGCATACTTGCAACCCCTTTGCCCACAATTGGGAACACATTAAGAAACAGAAATTGGAACTGTTTGATTACAGTTATCCGGAAAGAGAAAGTGAAATCATGATCAATTGATCATAATTCCCTCATCAACTAGTTGGGTAAAATGAGTGATTTATTTAGATCTAAAATAAGCAGATTGGTCCAGATAAGAACGTATTAAAAGTACATGCAAACATAGTTAAAAGATAAGTGCTAAAGAAACAAGTTCTGTAGTGTATGTCAAAATATTCGAGAAAATATTTCTAACAATTGTCTTAACATCTTAGAACCATGTTTTAAATGGAAGTTTCATCACAAACATTAGGAAAATCCGGCTTAGGTAGTAATTAAAATGCTAGACCCCCTCCTACATGTTGTAATGTGCAAGATTATAAAGATAATGGCATGGGCTCATGGACATGGCAAATCTACTTTTATCCCATATGTTACCTTGGTATATTATCACAACAAAGAAGACAACAGTGAATAGCATGGCAAAAAGGCTGCTGGCACTGGAAGATGATGGTGGTGGCGATGATGATTTAGCAATTTTCATCTTCTTCAAGGCTTTCATTCGCTCTATCCTTGCGCGCTTCAACATGGCAAGTTCAGATATCTCCCTGATTAACTTATGGTCAGCTGCATCCAACATAGGAGCTTGTGGAGGTCTTGGAGGTTTCGGAGCCTTTTTATTACTGGCCTTTTTCCGTTTCTCCTTCATTGGGGTCTGCTGTGCACGGTTCGCCGAATCTTTCCCCATCAATGGCTTGCTTGTTACTTTCATCAAATCCGCAGAAACTTCATCAAAACTTGATTCATTGCGGCATAAACTTGGACCATCGTCACCTTTAACCGAACCTCCAACAATCCTACCAGAAATCTTAGCAAATAATGTCTTTCCTTGTTTTGCACCACTAGGAGTAGAGGCTTGCTTTGAATCATCTCCAATTAGTGGCAATCCACTTTCAAGATCAACTTCAGGATTCCTATCCTTTACGCTTTTATGATCCATCTCAAAACCACAAACCCAATCCAACTTCTCTTTGCTTGTTATCCTATAAATTATAGATATCCTCGAAATTGCCTCCAAATATTTAATGTTTGAACTCGACCCATCATACAAAATGACATCCTCGACAGATGTTATGTACTAAGGGTTTAATTGATCATAAACCATCAAGAAGACAGCTTGCAATACAACTTAACCCCAATTAGGATACCTTTTTTTGGTTCTGACCTTTTCTTACATTACATAACAATAATAAAGTAATTATTACCCAGCAAAACTTTTTTTTTCCCTTCCTAGGGTCTTTTTACCACAAGCAACACCACTCCTCCAAGATCTAAAGATAAAAAAAGGTAATCCCAGGAACAGACAGACCCTGCATCATATAATTAGAGACAAAATTCAATCAGCCGAACCTAACCAAATTAACAATCTTACTATAATCGATTATCCCTCTAAAATTTTAGGGGTATGAAGAAGTGAACCAAATGATAAAGCTTTAAGCTACCCGAAAGCCCCTATCCAAACTTTTAAACAGAACAGACAAAAAAGCAATCATTGAGATAAAAAGGAAGAAACACAAAAACCTTTGGGGCCAAAAAAAGTGCGGGTAATCAAAACAAGGAAAACACACAAAAGGTTATTAGCCAGGAAAGAAGCGAGACCAACAATAACAAATTAACCCCAGAAAATAAACTATTTATACATTAATACCCACATTACATGTTTATAAACTACACAACAACGTGCAACCACATATGATTAAAAATGGGCACCCATGAAAACGAAGAAAGTAAAAAACTTTAAAGTAGTCACAGCCATGACAAGAATAATATAATACGAAGAAGTAAACAGAGAAGAAAACAAAAAGTGGACAGAATACCTTTGCCGGAAGGCGATGAAAGGGCAGATCCAATGGCGGAAGAGTTTGTAATTGCAGAGAGCGAGAGATATGGGATGGAAAAGGACAATAGATAGAGAGATAATCGGAGAAAGGAACCAAAACTACGGCAAATTAAGATTCGTTCAAACAAAGATCTCTTTCTTGGTTTCATGGTATGCGCTGTCTTAAAAAACGTTATATTTATAGGGCGGAGATTGAGGAGGTGATGTAGCCAATATAGACAACACTTGTTGACAGTTGGCAACTCCTAATTTCACACCGTGGCACCTCTCATGGACTGTTCTGTCCTTTTGTTTCCACTCGTGTTTGCCCTGTGTTGTTTTTTATGTTTACCTTTCAACCAAATCTTAAATTCCTACAAGATATTCTCCTTATCCTTCCTATTTATTTTCGTATGCTAAACGTTAAATATTTTTATATTTGTAATTTAAGACGTTAAAAATATATGAAGTTTTTCGTTTCAAACTTTTATATAGTATAGGAAAACTTTATAAAAAGAGTATAGTTGAGCGTGCGTATACATAAGTGAATTATAATTAAAATAATTATAACTTTTATATAATTAAAATATAATTACAAATTATTAACTTTATCATTATTATTTTAATTTTTTAATTTATATGATTTCTAATTAATTAAAAACATGAAATATTAAAACAATTTGATACAAAAATTATTCTCTATCCTATTTTTAAATTTTAAATATAAAAAGTTAATTACTCGTTAAAACAAAGAGTAAAGATGAAAAAAAAAACAATTTGATTCTCATGCATATTCCTTGTTTTTTATGTTTATTATCATTGTTGCGAGACTTCATGTGTTTCTATCATTAAATATGCTGCTATATAGTTATTTTATGTTATATATATAAAACACAAAATTATAAACATTCTATATAGGTAAATATTTATATATTAATTAAATGAACTTTAATTTTATATTAATGACTTTTTATTATGTAGCCTTGTCTTCATTCTGAGTGTAATAAAGTTTTTAATTTTTTTAATTTGGTTATATTTAAAATAAATTACTTTTTCCTTTCTTAAAAGATGTGAATGACAGTGTCTTCCATTCTTGAACTTTATTTTCCAACACATTAAAGTTACATGCTTTCCTGTTTTTATACTTTTCACTAAAATTCTAATAGATATAAAACATTTTTAACATATCAATATTACTTCTCCAAACAAATAAGTGTTATACCATCCTCACTTGTGTTAAACTTGTATATATTTTTAAATATTTATAAAATATTTGTTAAATAAAAACAATTGATATATTCAGTTTTATATACTTTAAAGAAAATGATAAATAAATATACATATTATTTACATATTCAAAATGTGTATATAAATATAAGTTATTTATTTGTCTCTATTTATAGCATTATCTAAAAAAATGTCCATTTTCATAATATTTTTAATATTTAAAATGTGAGTATATATTAATATAAGTTATTTATTTATCTTTATTTATAAGATTATTTTAAGAAAAGTTATTGTATAAAAAGATACTTTTTAGCCTAATGATGTATTAAGTATTTTCTTTTCATAAAATATTATAAATTAATTATCATAGTTCTACTAAAATATTAATAAATATTTGAAATAAATAATACATAATTTCTATAATATAAACATGAAAGGATGTAAGAAAATGAAATATAAGAAAAAGAATTATAAAATAAATAGAAAATATACTTTTGAAAGAAAAGTTAGAAGAAAAAGAAAATATATATTCATTTCAAATTAAATATTTATAAAATCATAAAAAAATTGATATAGTTATTAATTAAAAAATTTAAATTAATTTTTCATTATTTTTAAAGTTTTATAATTTAATATATAATTATACTTTTTTATTATAAATTATTTTTTTAAAATATTTAATTTTAAATTAATAAAATAAATTACATTAAAAAATATAAATATATTAAATTATTCATTTAAATTTTTATAATTATTATATATATATATATATATATTAAAACTGTAAACAACATAATAATAATAATAATAATAATAATAATAATAATAATAATAATAAAAGATCATAATTTTGAAAATAATATTTTTTAATATAAATAATAATATTTTTATACTTTTTATTATTTTTTCGAATGAAAAGTAACAAATAAATACCAGATTAAAAAGTAACATTTTTTTTAACAATTATTTTCACTATTCTTTTGAGTTCTCACTTTCCTTATCCTAATACTAAAATCTCATTTAACTACTACTTTAAAATAATAAAATAAATTATTGATGAAATTAATCTACTTAATTAAGTTTTTAAAAGAATAGGAATTATTATTTAAAATTTTCTTTGAAGTAGGAAGAAGAGAATTAGTAAAATGTAAAACATAGGAAGATCATATATTACAATATCAAACCTAACTTCATCTCTGAACACTAGAATCTGTGTTGTGCATGCTATCATTTCACACTTGAGACTTAAAATAACACAGATTCAATAAGCTAATATAAATATTTGTTACTGGTCAATTTAATGAGCAAAGACGTTTATATGGATAATGTCCTCAACTCAAAAATTTATCCTACTATTACATTTAATTTTAAACAATTTTTCATCTGTTTTGAACTGATTTTCCTAATCAATTTTAGAAAATAAAAATAAATAAATAAATGTTTATTTTTTAAATTAATATTATAAATCTTATTTTTTAAAATTTATTTTTAATTAATGGTAAAGAAATTAGGTTAAGGAGATTCCCGAAACCGAAGGCACATGAAACATGGGAGTGGCAGTTGAGTAGGAGCTTCCCATGTCCACCAACTCATTCCACACGGTGACACATAATTGAATGCTCACTATTCCTAATGCACTTTTTTTATATCTTTATTGGTTAAAATCTATTTAAGAACTCTTAATAAACTTATCGAAAGGGAATCATATTCAGATGAATATAGGAAAAGCACTAGAGAAACCAGATAGCATAACTAATAAAACCACTTAAAATTGTTAAAATGAGCTTTAACATCAACTTTTAGATCATCCAAACAAGATACTTAACAACTTTTATAACATCCAAGACGAACTACTATTAAAAGATTATGTCAATTTTTCCCCTGCAATTCCATCTTTATAAAGTTCTTCCTTCAGAAATCCTCGCACCCAAAAAAAAAGTTGTATATTCATTCAATCATGAAAGGGTTATAATATAAATGAAAGATAAAAAAGTCATTGAACAATACATAATCAATTGAATACAAATGTTATGCAATTATGTATTGTTTTGACAAAGCTAATTGCAAGAAAAGCACCATACAGGGAAAAGTTACCTTGAAAGCAAGGAGAGGACCAAGAGTTGCGAAGTTACGACTACACCCAAAAGATGAATTAATTAACACCTACTCAAGATCAGAAATTGTTTTCACTTTTGACATCGTCTATTGCGGTTTCATTCCCAGATTTCTCTAAGAACAATCTGGTAACAGGTCCTAAACAGACAGAGCCTCCCCAAAGAAAAAGTTATGAAAAAATATAATTCACGCTATCAATCATTTTATGCATTCTAGAGAAGGGCAATACTATGGTAATAAAATATTACTTTTATACTTATAATATTAGAAATATGATGAATAATTGTAGCAACATAGAGATACCATAATCATATTTACCACTTGCCAACTAGAATAGCAAGTTTAAAATATGAATGAATAACACATGCATGATAATTCACTATATATTAAAATTGTCAAAGACCTTATGCAGATATATGTTGAAAGATTAACAGGCTTTGCTCCAGTAATAGGGTAAAGGTACAAGTGAATGCAAAAGAAGGAGCAATATTAGTATAGAGTAGTGATAGAACAAATTATTTAAATGGCTCCAGTCCTGCCATAGTGCTGAAACTAAACCAAACAAGGCCCAAGACTTGTGGCAGAGTCAGCAACATCAATGAAATAACTCAGTTCAAAATTATTCACATAAAATATTTAAAAACTTCAATGAGAACTTGGTAGAAGTATTGTAATGCACTAATGCAACAATAGCCTTCCATCACGAATTAAATCATACTATATATTACTTCAGATTGATTCGAGGTTACAAGCATGGTGACTTATACCAATAAACAGCCTTCACAAAAATTATAGAAAGTGGATAATCGTATAATTTCCAAAGTTAGAAACCATATCACAGATAGTATAATCTCCCTGTCATTGTGAAATAACCAGAACCCGAGAAAGTAAGAGACACTCTGATTATAAGTCAAAACCAAAATTATTAAGACACTGCAAATTAGGAAGATATAGTGTCACAAGGTATATAGGTGTGAATGAAAGTCATGGAGAGATAATTTCAAGAAAATGACAATGATGGAAACGTTACTGAAAGATATCCGCATTAAAATCAGAGTAGAACATATTAATAACATAACAGAAAATGTATTCCATAATATGGAGCAATTCAATATATCACCTTTTTAAAATTCTGATTTTTAACTAAATAAAAGCAAATCATATTTTAACTATCTATTGGTATTAATTATTCATGAGAACAACTATTAACACAAATATTACCTACCTTAAATGCATATAATATAAGGTGAAAATATTTTACATTATTTATTCCATATACAAAATCGTCATCACCAAAATTCAACAAATATCATGGTTATCAATAATAAGAAAATAATGTTCTAAGACACAATTTCTATTATTATTTTTAAATTAAAATATAAAATCATATTTTACGACATAACTTACTTTCATATAGGCAATTTTTAAAAATCTCCATTTTAATAGAATTTATGAAAAAATGTAGCTAAAGATACTGTAAGTTAAAATTTTTCTAGGTAGGAGACGTTAACCGCCCTTTCGTTCTAAGTGTTAAAAAAAGGGGTAGTTATGAGGTAGTTTGGAGACATTACATTCCACTCTTTAACTGCTCAGTGCACACCAAAAAGACGCAGCCAAGTAAGAAATCTTGCAATCAGAAATTTTATCTTTCTTCCCCGGCACGTTTGCAAAGCATGGCCAGTGTAATCGACGACCAAAGCTATGACGATTGCGACATCTACACCGTCGCCTTCCGCACAGCTCCAATCATCATCACCGTCACCGTCACCGCGATTCCATCCGTTGTCAGGAACTGGCTCTTTAGAACTCTCACCGTTTGCCGCCGCTACGTCCGCCAGCAAAACTTCGTCGTCGGTCTCGGCGTCCAGTGGACTCCCGGCCACGAAGAATCTCCTCCAAACACGCTGCAGCTCTGTGTAGGACATCGGTGCCTAATCTTCCAGCTCGATCGCGCCAACTACGTGCCGATTAAACTCCGCAGATTCCTCCTTGATCCTTCGCTCACCTTCGTCGGATTCTGGAACGAATTGGACCGGCGAAAGCTCCTGTCTTCGAAACACCGTTTGGAGATGGTGACGGATCCTCTGGATCTGAAGCGTTACGCGGAGAATGATCACGGTCAGATCCTAGATCAAGAATCGGTGAATGAGATCGTAGCGGAATCCGTAGGGTTAGAAGTGGACCAAAGGAGTGAGATCAGCACGAGCGACTGGGATAGAGAAGAACTTGAGCACGATCAAATTGTATATGCGGCCGTTGATGCTTATTGTGCGTTCCTCTTCGGTAAGAATATCGGCGCTTGGCGATTCAACGGGTGACTCTCACGCTCTCTCTTCATGCTAAAGTGTTTAGAAGCTTTTATCAGTTACGGCTAGCGTAGTGTAACTGTCAAAAATGTGCCTGCACTTCAACTTGACTGGTTAACTGGTTTTGACGGTGATGAGACTAGTTTTGATTTCTTGGTCTTCGTGACTCTGAAACTGCTTCAACTGTTTTTGGTGCATTTCTTTGGTGATAGTTTAATCATGATTGAACAACCTACTGGTGTTTTCATATTTGACCTACCTGCTAGTTTTTTGAAAAATTTAGCTGAGGGTTAAATCAACTTTTACGTTTCATACTTCCCAACGGTTTTTGAACAAGAATAAATCCAAGAAAAAAATTTAGCGAGTTTAATCAACACTTGAGAAGGATGAAAATACCAAAACAGTAGCTAAGTACGAGAACTCGGTGACCTATACTCAAGCCCATATTCGTAACGATAAGTTGTTTAGATTCAAATTATATATGATTATTTATTCTGTTAAGCATCAAATGTTCGTCATAGTATTTTAGGAAGAATGTTGATATATTGACAACGCCACGAGAAAAAACATAAAGGAGACAACTCAGTTTATCATTAAATAATTTTTTAATAATATTTTATTATTTTAAAAATAATTATTTTATATATTTTTCTTTGTATTTTTTAATCTAAATATCTTATTTTTTATATTTTTTTTACAACTCCCTCAAGCATTAAGTTATACTTTGAGTATTTGATTTGTTTTATATGTTTTCTGTTAATCTTTTCATGCAAGTACAACCGTCTTATAATAATTATATTAACAAGTAAATATGTGTTATGAAAAAAAAAGTCAAATAGGTTTCAGACTTTACTATTAGAATATTTTTTGTATTTTTTAGGTAACTTAAATATATATATTAATCTCTCATCCTTGAATTAAAAAATAATTGTTTAGATGGAGGAGATGAGAGTGAAAAGTGAAGAAAAATTAGTAAAGAGGTTCTAAATGACAAATATTTTGTAACTTCTATAAGTTTATGTATGTATATTTATAAATTTGCATTCAAGATTTAATAATTATGTAGTTATTTGTGTATTTATAATTTTTAGCTTCTTATTTATTTTTGTTTATAAATATTAAATTAAATTAACACATTTTTTTCATCTTTTTATATTTATTTATTATTTAAAAAAATAATAGTATAAAGGAAAAGAAAACCAAGAACAAAGTGGAGGCAAAACTAAATTTATTACCAATAAATTTTTTTACTTTACATGAAAAATTTTCTTAGGTCAAAAAATATTTAATAATATCAAAGTCTATAATCTTATTTATTATTTATTAATAACATATTGTTTAATTCTAAAATATTTGTTATCATTATTAATATGAGTAATTAAAAAATAATAGAAATTTTATTAAATGACAAAAATATATTTAATATAAATTTAAATATAAAAATAAATTTGAAATATAATTTAATATAAAATAATTATTATATAAAATTTGGAATATATTAAAAATTATTTCAAAAATTAATTTTAAACTATGTAAATAATTAAATATAGACCGTGTGTACTTTTTTTCCTACTAATTATATATATATACCAGATAAATAATAGAAACCACACATAAAATTAGTCTTGTATTTCAAAAATATTCGTTGAATCAAGTTAATTGAAATTCTTCTAACGTTTCTATTTGTTACAGAAAAAGCTTTTTGAATTGCCCGTAAAAATAGATTGTGCTAATGAAAAAGCTTTTAATGCTGTAAAATATCCCTTATTAATCCAGCAATATCATTTGTGTGACTAGTATTTAATCGAGGACAACAATGTCATTTTATATGTTAGCTGACTTTATGCATTTCCATATACTCATTTCTTTGTGAAGAGTAAAAAGAATTAGGGTGTTATAGGTTATGTTTTACTTAAAGTATTGCAATTGAATAGATTTTCTAATCTAATCTATTAGAGAGGTAGACCTTACTAAGTAATCTCTCCAACCTAAGCGAAGGTTAAGAGAATAAAGGAATAAAGTTGATTATTTAACCGGTGACAGTAATAACTAATATGAAATATTAATTAAAGTGTTAAGAACAATAGAAAATTTGAAATTAAAAAAATTAGAATATAATTAATTATGAACTCTGTTTTATTTCAGTTGTTAATTTCATAAGAAAAATTGTCTTTTTTTTTATTAAAGTATAATCATTATACTATCTAAATAAATTTTCATTTATTATTTTAACTTTCTATTTTAATATATTTAATTGATAAAACAAGATTTAAAACAATATAAAATTATTTAATAAACATATTTCTATTTTTTATATTTTACATCATCAATTTCTTCCTCAAATAACTTTACCTCGCATTTATAAGTCAAAATTGCTAGTTTTAATTAAATTTTTTAATAATTTTTAATATAATCTCAAATTGACCTATATATATATATATATTTTTTTTTTATATATTTTGATTCGATCCCTTAAATAAATAGTTATTGAATATCATTCAAGATATTTGGTGGACGAAATAGATAAGGTGTTTTTTTTTTCCTGATGAGCATAACTCAATTTGAAAAGTAATAGTTTCTTAGTTACTTTCACAAACATGTTGAAAAACTTGAATTTTGCTCGAAACCAGTTTGTATTGAGTCCCACGGAAAAAGTTTCCACCAAAAGGCCGCGGAAGAAAGGCACAGAAATGATGAGGATTGTTGTATAACGATAATCGTACACCGAAACGAGATCCGCGGTGATGTGGTTATTTTTGGAGAGAAATTGTTGAGGTGGAATTAAGTGGGAAAATAAATGAAAATGATAAAAGAAAAAGGGAAGTGTGCACGGGAAGGAGAGGAGAGAGTACGTAGCCGCGTCTTCACACGAAAGATTCAGTGGTGGCTTCATATTCACCTTCTGTTTCTCTTCTTCTTGCAGTGCTGGTCTAGTCACGGTTCCTTAACAGTGTCGATGAGTGTAGTGTGCAGAGGAAGTAAAGAGCCCCTTTCCTTTCTGTGTGGATGATTGAATAACCATAGCTCAGTGTGGTCTCCTACTCCTCAACAAGCATTCTCAAAAATGCGAGGCAAATCGTTTTGAGGTATTTTATTTGTCTCAATCCTTAAAAATTTATTCAGTTTTTGCTTAAGTGGAAGATGTAAGGTACCAGAGAAAGCAGAAGAGTGGGAAACGACAAGAAGTAATGTTTTGATGGTTTCCAGTGACGATAAGAGAATACAGTGAATGAGAGAGAGAGAGAGAGAAGTATAGGTGTTTCTGAGCATTATATTGGGTTTCCCTTTGTATTTTCCAATGAATTGTATTGGTTAGAGAAGTTAAATTGTTACTATTGTAACTGTATTCTGGTTTTGGTTTGCGTTTTCCGGTGCAATTTGGAACGTGCAGAATGGAAATATTTGTGAGGAAGTGAAAGGTTTTTCTTTCTAGGTGTTTGACGCTTTGTTGATACCGAATAGATAAATATTATGAATCATTATGGCAAAATTATTTGGAAACTAAAATTTATACGAAGAATGAGATTGAATTTTATGACAATTATTTGTATTATATTTTGAAGGTTAATGCTTTGTATTATGTTTTTTTAACATCCATGTTAGGTTTACTTTTAGTTTAGAAGCCTAGTAAAAAATTGTATTAAGACTATTAATTACAGTGATGATCAACGTCACACAATGTCACTCCTTAGAAAGGTATAATGATTGTGAATAATAATTCTTTTATATATATTGATTTAAAATATATGTAATACCATGGATATAAAGTTACTTAATATAGATTCTATCTTCAGATAAGGTAAATTTGGATAACCCCATTCAAGACAGCAATGTTATTATTTCAAATGTATTATTAAACAAATAAATTAGTAGGTGAATGATTAATAATTGTAGTTTTAGAATTAGGTATAATATTGTACTGTTAGATATTTATTTAGTTGTGGGTTTTTTTAATAGATGAGGAAACATTGTTTATTTGGATTAATTGAAGATTGTTATATTACAAAATTATTCAAAGAGAAATAATTGAGCGTTAAAAATATAATTATATTATTAGGTTAATTATATGATGAAGATAATGTTAATGACTTTTGTAGATTATATATATTATTTCTATTTGTTATTTTTTTCCTCTGTTGGCTGAAGTCACAATTTTAATGTTAAGATTTTTAGATTATGTTGATGAGTTTAGTTTATACAATCGAGGATTAATTTTGTAATAAATAGTTTAAGTTGTGCATACATTTATTACTTTGAAGTCATAAAAAACCCAAATCCCACTACAATAAATTTTAATATTACCGACGGTTAAAATCCGTCGGTAATATTTTTATTATTTATTAAATATTTTATTTATATAACTTATTTATTATTTTTATTAATTAATTTTCCCTATTACATTTTTATAAGACGAATTCGAACCAAGCACCTTAGAGTTAGAGACTAGTACTCCAACCACTAAGCTTAGCAGATTTTTTTGATAATAATTTATAAATAAATTATATTGATATATTGATATATTTATATATTTATATATATATTTATATATTTATATGATTATATATTTATATATTTATATATATTTATATATTTATATATTTATATTTATATATATTTATATATTTATATATTTATATATTTATATATTTATATGATTATATATTTATATATTTATATGTTTATATATTTACATGTTTATATGTTTATATATTTATATTTTATATATTTATATGTTTATATATTTATATCTTTATATGTTTATATGTTTATATATTTATATCTTTATATATTTATATTTTATATATTTATATATTTATATTTTAAATATTTTTATATATATTTTATATATATTATATATATATATATATATATTTATATATAATTAAATATTTATTTTTTAAAATTATTTAATTTAAGAAATTATTATAAATTAATCTAATTATGATTAAATTAAATTATTAAATAAAAAATATTTAATTTTTTAATTAGTTGAATATTTACTGATTGTTAATTTACTGACCGGATATATCCGTTGGTAATTTACGAGATGGATTTACCGATGGATATATCCGTCGGTAATTTACAGATAGATTTACTTGACGGATATATTCGTCGATAAATTACCGACGGATTTATCGATGGATATATCCGTCGGTAACTAATTATTATTTTACCGACGGATATATCCGTCGGTAAGATCAAATTCCACAAATATTTCATATCTGTCGGTAATTTCCGTCGGTAATACGCGATTTTCTTGTAGTGTCCATATAATTGATTGTGTTTGTATTTTACAAGTGCATTAATACTTCAATTTCATAAATATTGATTTAGTATGAAATAATGATACATATTTGCATAAATTTATTTGATTAATTGTTTTGTAATGTATAGTGTTGTAAACAGAGGCAAATCATATATCACTTCATACCTTAACAAAACATTAAAAATTTTCCTTAAATTATTGGTTACTTTGAGGTACAATGAACAAGTAAATATAAGATATGTATTTGTTTAATATTATATTTATAACTTTTGACATATTGTCATTTGTCATTATTATTAAAAAAATATTTCTTTTGTTTTAACCAAATAAGGAAGAAAAAGAAGAGATTATAAAAGCTTTTGATGCAAAAGAACGATTATTTAGAAAAAAAAATTGATAATAAAGGAAGAGATTTAAACGTTGAAGGATGGAGTGATGAAACATGAGACAAATTTTGTGTAAAAAACAATTATGAGAGATTGAATTAATGCCTTATAATTAATTATTGACGTAGAAGTTGTTAGTTTCTTTCTAAGAATAAGAAACTTAAGTATATTGAACATGAATGAGTAGGTATTTTATTTTTACTAAGCATGTTCTTATAACATGTGATTAGTGACCAATGTTAACTAATAATTTGGGTAAGGAAACAAATAATATATTATTAATAATTAATAAATGAGTTAAGATGAAAAAATATGAAAAAGTAAATAAGAAATCAAAATTATAAATATACAACCAATTATATTTAATGATGATTAAATTTGAGAAAATTAAAATCATAAATAAAATCATAAATGTAGATGAAAGTTATAAATTTTTTTGAAATATAACCTCCTAACTCTCAAAAAACTTTATCATAAACCCTGTCATTACATATGATGTTGATGTAAGTTGATATTATTATTTGTTTGTTACATTATTTTAGTTAATATATATGGTGCTTATTTGATTGTAAGAATATAAGTATATGAAGGCTCAAAATTAGGTTAATAACATAGTTAGAATGAAATTTATTTATGTGTTAATTTGATAAATATTTAAACAATATTGACTAATTTTTTATATTATAGATATTTTATTTTGCTTGTAAATTGTTTTTATGTGAATTTTTTTGCAATAATAATATGAAGACACGTTATTTTTTAATCCACTTTTTTTAGTAAAGTGTAATTGTGGTAATATTATGATAAATTTAATGGTAAAAATTGTAATAATATTATTAAAATGATATAGAATACTTTGGATAGTTTCATGACAAATTTGAATGAAAGAGGTTTAATTAAGCATTAGAACAAGGTAAAGTTTGACATTTTAGCTTTTAATCGAATAACACCGATCGATTGATGATATTTTGGTTTGTAAATTGGTATGGAAATTGGTTTTTGAATGGATGATGTTTAAGTGTTTAACGTTTATTAGTTATGTAATGGACTTGAACTGTGTTAGAGTCATGTTGAGATATTAGTATTGAAGAAAGACAACTTGATAATGCAAATAATAAGGTAATAATTAAAAATTTAATAAAAATATTTTATAGTTAAATTATTTGATATTTACTAATATCTAATATTTTAATATTTATCTAAATTATAATTACTTAAATCAAAATAATAATTTAATATTTTTTATTTTAAAAATTAATGAAAAAATTAATATATAATTTAAATAAAAAATAGGAGGTACATGTTGTAGCTAGCCATTATGGCTCGCAGTTTTCGCTCTATTTTACTACCGTTGCTCGCGCGGCTTACACCCACATTTCCATTTTGGGATTTCTATCGCGTCACGCACGCACATTTGCGATTGGTTCTGAAGGAAGAGTAATAACATAATATTTGTTTGCTTAAGCAACATTTATTTCGTGGAACAAGTTTCTTCGTCAATGAAACAATTTTCATGATCACGTTATCTTCTCTGACGGAAGAGTTACTTGATGCAATTTCAAGTATTTTCGGTTGGAAATGTTCTTCTATTAATGGATAAAGACAATACTTTGCTTATGTAACAGTGTTTATGGCTTGAATTAAGAAAGAAAAACTTTGCATAACTCTTTATTGATCAACCTGACAATATTAGTACATAGAAAAACTTTTTATAAGTTTATATTTACAAGAGAAGGATAAAAAAACTAACAAAAATAAAAAAGAAGAGAAAACAGAAAAACAGAAAAAATATAACAATATTTCTAACTGAAATACCCCCTCAAGTTGGGTGGTATATGTTGATTAAGCCCAACTTGGAGATGTTTTGAGTAAAAGGTGTGGAATATAGAGATTTGGTAAAAGCATCAACAAATTGATGTTTGGAAGGAATATGAGAAATAACAATAAGACCTTCAATCATTTTGGAGCGGATGAAGTAACAATTCACCTCTATATATTTTGTCCGTTCATGAAAGGATGAATTTTTAGCTAATTGAATGGCTGATTGGTTGTCACCGTATGTGGAGATGGGCAAAGGAATATTGAGAGAAAGATCATCAACAATGTACTTAAGCCATTGTAGTTCACATGCGACAGTGGCTAGAGCTCGATATTAAGCTTCAGTAGAACTTTTTGAAATTGTATTATGCTTTTTAGACTTCCAAGAGATTAAACAATCACCATAAAAAATGCAGTAACCTGTGATAGATCGGCGGGTGGTGCTACAAGTTGCCCAATCAGAATCAGAAAAGGCTTGTAACCTGTTGTGATTCTGAATTGGGTAAAAGAGA